TCTCTCTCTCTCTCTCTCTCTCTCTCTCTCTCTCTCTCTCTCTCTCTCTCTCTCTCTCTCTCTTGTCTTCTTTCCATTGGTGGAGATCTGCACTTGCACGATACGGATGTTCTCTCCATGTACTGTTTCATGAGGATTCTGATGTTCTTGTAATCGATTACCTCAATTAACGGACGTCACAAAGGACAAGGAGGATATTGCATTCGCTACCTCTGCGACCTCGGCTTGTTTTCTAGAGTTCTGTAGAGGAAACACGGGAACAGGCAGACACGCGCACGCACCCACACGCCCACCGACATCCACATGCATACGAGCATGCACATACATGCACATACATGCACATACATGCACATACATGCACATGCACATGCACATGCGTGCACGTGCATGCACATGCACATGCACATGCACATGCACATGCACATGCACATACATGCACATACATGCGCATACATACACATGCAAATGCACATGCATATGCACATACATGCACATACATGCGCATACATGCACATACATGCACATACATGCTCATACATGCACATGCACATGCACATGCACACCCACATGCACATCAATACGTGCAAACGTTACGCACATGAATATGCATACACGCACACACACATGCACATGCACATGCACATGCACATGCACATGCACATGGACATAAGCGCACATGCACATGAATCCGTGCAAACGCCTACGCACATGCAGATGCATACACGCACACGCACATGCACATGCACATGCACATGCACATGAACATACACGCGCATGCACATACACACATACACCCACATGCACATACACTCACATGCAAGCGCATGCAGTGCCATGCACGATGCCCCCGCCGCCGCCAACGCCCATGCCCACAACCACGACCAAGCCCACGCCCACGCCATGCACCATGCTCATGCATACACGCACATGCACATGCACATGCATGCACTCCCAGAGGTGAATGGACATGCACACAGACACACATCGTGTGCAGACTGTCATGGTTCAACCTGCTGATGATTCCGTGAAGGTCTGGCACAGTCATGCCTTCTTTTTTGGGGGTGGAGTTGTGTACAGGGAACATGATAACACCTACACTCGCTCGCACTCGCACGCACACACCCTAGGAAACAATGTGGCACAGTTGTGCCTTTTTTTCGTTTTCGCGGAGTTGTGTATTGCAAACATGACAACGCACAGACGCTCAGGCACATCCCCGCTCGCACCCGTACACACACGCTGGTGCCCGTGCACCCCCATGCACACCCCACCGCACACCCCGCGCATACCCACACTCACCCGAAAGATCGTTTTTTTCTTTTTCCCTTTTATAAAGGGTGCTCACAGGACCCACCCCTACGTACCTCATCGTTCTGCTTCCTTAGCCTAACCTCTAGTTCCCCATCTACAGGGGGCCCAGGGGCACTTGTTGGCCCTACCTCGGATATTCCGGACAGCCGTTGCAGACACCAGCGCTAGGCCAGGATAACCTCTCCCAGCCCTACCGTCTTCACCTGAATACAATGCCCGGTCATTATAGCCGTGAAGACGGTAGTTGAAGCACTTTAGAGCAAGTCTTGTCACACGGGGGCTTCGGTCTCCTCGCCCTAGTTGAAGCACTATCCAGCAAGTCTTAGGTCGCCAACTATCATCGTTCTATACACTCTGGTTTTCCCTATGAGCACAAGCCAGGGTTGGTCAGACAGGTAATATTCCATAGAGCCTTCCCCCCCAGTAGACACCCCTAGGCAGTGTCTACTTGTTCTACCCAGACCATGGTCTTACCTGAGACAGCCCTTCTGACCCAGCCCGGACGCCTGTGAATACCCCCGTACGTCTTAAGGGGTTCTAACGGCCGGTCGTATGGCCTTTGGGCGTACGAAGTGCTGAACCCCCCCCCCTAAAAGAGACGAACGGAAAAAAAAAAAAAAAAAAACGGGGATGTTGAGCGTTTCGTGCTCTAGAGCCCCGTTTTTTTTTTTTTTTTGGGTTTGTTTTTCTAGATTGATTGATTGATTGATTGATTGATTGATTGATTAATTGATTGATTGATTGATTGATTAAAAAAAAAGCGCATCAGCCCGAGCTGTGTGAGGGACCAAACGCTCCCTCTGTCTCTCTCTCTCTCAGCGCGTGTGCAAGAGACACACACACACACACAAACACACACACACACACATCCACACACACACACACACACACACACACACAGAGAGAGAGAGAGAGAGAGAGAGAGAGAGAGACAGTATGTTTGTGTGTGCATCTGTGTGCGTGTGTGCGTGTGTGTGGGTGTGGGTGTGTGTGTGTGTGTGTGTATTTGCGTGTGTGCGTCTGTGCGCATGTTGGCATGCACCTGTGTGCTAGTGTGTGTGTGTGTGTGTGTGTGTGTGTGTGTGTGTGTGTGTGTGTGTGTGTGTGTGCGTTTTTGCGTGTGTGTGGATGTGTGTGGGGGGGTGTCAATCAATCAGAAAATCAAAGAAGGTTTGGGCGTGATTTTTTTTCTTTTTATTTTTTCCTTTCCATTACAAAATGAATGAACCAGTGAATCAATGAATCAATGAATCAATCATCAATCAGTCAATCAATCTTTTCTTTTTCTTTTTCTTTTAAGGGAAAATTTGTCTGGCACCCCTATATTTTGCGATACTTCGCGTCTTTACGGCCGGTTTACCCTGTCGCGCCCCTCTGAGCAGGGTTGAAATTTTCCAAAAGACCCTGGTGTCGTTTGGGCCTCAAATCTTTTGGTGACGCCCCTACTGGTACCGGTCAGTAATTTGCGGGACGCCCCTACTGGTATCGGTCCGTAATTTGTGGGATGCCCCTACCGGATGGCTGTTAAAACCCGGTACCGGTCAGTAATTTGTGGGATGTCCCTACCGGATGGCCGTTAAAAGCCAGCGGACAAATTTTTGAGATGCCCCTACCAGTACCATCCATCGTTTCTGCACGCCCTTGTTGCCGTTGGAGGCACTTTGGGGCATTCCCCCGGGCCTGTGAGGGAGCTACCGGGGCATGACAGAAATTCGTCCGTGGCCCCATCTGTCCGCCGCGCCCTTGCTTGCATACAACGACAGTGGGCCACTGCGGCTGGGTGATTTTAGCCTGTGCGGCCTCCCTGCTATGCACATTATCCTTGCTCTCTCTCTCTCTCTCTCTCTCTCTCTCTCTCTGTGTGTGTGTGTGTGTGTG